GCCTAAGGCACTTGACTGCTAACCAGAAGGCTGGTGGTTCAAACCCACCAGCCACTTCTCGGAAGGAAGATGGGGCAATCTACTTCCGTAGTGATACCGCCTCGGAAACCCAAGGAGGGGTCACTATGAGTTGGGTCCAACTTGACGGCACATAACAACAACAACAACATTATAATCTGAGAGCTACAATACTATTTAACTTCCTAACCTTATTGGAACATCTGAAGAAGACAGCATGGCATTTTTGGAGGTCTGCCTCCATCTATATTTATGTTTTCACAGTATATTATGACCTCACAAGAATTATGATTCCCTAAGGGTATACAGTAAAGCTCTGGTGGTCCAATGGTTAAGTGCTTGGCTGCTAAGGGAAAGGTTGGTGGTCTGAATGCACCCAGCAGCTCCATGGAAGACCCAGTGACCTAGTCCCATAAAGATTACAACCTAAGTAGTTCTACTCTCTCACATGATATTGCTAAGACTCAATTCCACCCAATGGCACTTAACAACAAGAAGGGCATACATGTTGCCTCAGTCCTGGCAGATGTGAGATATCTGCATCCCCTCTAGAGATTTCTAATCACTGGAGGTCAAGCCTTTGGAAACAAATCAGTAGGGTCAGATTATGTGAATTCAATTTTTCAAATTATTGAAGTTAAGAACACATAATGATTCAATTTTCTACCTTCCCTTGCTATAGGAGAACTAGTCAAAATATAAGGATAATGTCTTAATTGAATGTTTACCATAATCATAATTCTGATTAGATATCTAGTTGATGACAATAGTATTTCTGGGCAATGGCATTTCTGTGCTTACTATTTTATTTTCAATATATTAAGTGTTATCTGTTGTCTTTCAGTTTTCCCTAAAGTACCTGCAGTAAAACACAACTTGTTGCTGCATCAGTTGCCAGGCAACATTCAAATAAAATATTCTATTAGCTACATAATAACATAAATCCTAAAGATTCCCAACCAACTTACCATTGGAATCCATTCAAGCCACAAAAAACAAAACCTCCAGCTAGCTAAATATAAAAGAAGACTAGTTTGAAAGACTTGGGAAAAACAGTAATTTTTTTATCTCTGCTCATATCTAGTTATTTTATATCATATTTAGTTTGAGGGTCTGAATTTCTAGCTGACTATCTAATATTCTTTGATTTCATTAAGTGATGAGTGAAAAATGGCAAATACTTAAGTTGTTAATTTAATAAAACACTAGAAAAGACAACATTGTGTGAGAAAGAGTTAAAAAGTGGAGAAGGAGCTTTGAATTGTGTCTTTAAAAAAGTAATAAACTACAGACAGAAATGTTAGAAGTTCAGTTTCCTGGGGCTAGGCTAGAGCCTTGGTGGCACAATGGTTAAGTGCTCAACTGCTAACTGAAAGATCAGTGGTTTAAATCCACCAGTGGCTCCATGGCGTAAAAGAACTGTCAATCTGCTTCCACGAAGATTTCAGCTGAGGAAACTACAGGGCAGAGCTACTCTGTCATATAGGGTCGCTAGGAGTAGGATTCAACTCAACAGCACAAAACAACAATAACCAAATCATCAAGGGTTAAAGAAAATAGTACTTAATGAACTGCAACGTACTCACAACTAAGATCTCAATCTATCTAGATTCATCCCCACCTCATTGGGAGCGCTGCTTACATACACCGCAGGTGATATAATACAATATAAATATTCCATTCTTTGAACACATAGTAACTTCATTGGCCAGATCAATTCTTTTCAGAATAATCACTGCAAGCAGATAACTAAAAGTTTTACAGGTAATCATGATATTTTCCCCCCCTTTTTTTTTTCTTTTAACATTTCTAGATGGATATATTGATAATGTTGTATTTCAAGAAGGTACTATAAAGGACACATATGGTAAATTTTGCAATTCTGAGAAATTTGGCTAGATAAATAAAATTTTCACCTGCATTCTCACTTGGGTTCAAATTTTGTTTACATTGTCAAGTCATTGCTAACTCTGCTAGTCAAGTGCCAGAGGTTCTTAAGAGCTGGCAATTGTGTGCAATATTGTTCACTCCAGTGCCAAGTTTGGCTTCCAATACACAATTGGAGCTCATTCCCATGCAAGGCTTGTGGGGGACTGACATATTCTGCTCACTTCAATAAGATCAACAGACCTGACTGCATATTCACAAGTGGCTTTAGGAGATTAAGAGACACACAATGGGTTGGATCAATTCTATAGCAACTGGTTGTTTTTTTCTGTAGTTTAAACCAGTTGCCATTGGTCAAGTCTGACTCATAGTGATCCTATGTATGTCAGAGTAGAACTGTGCTCCGTGGAGGTTTTCAGTGACTCATTTCGAAAATAGATTGCTAGACCTTCCTTTTGAGGAGCCTCTGGGTAGACTCAAACTTCTAACCTTTTGCTTAGTGGCCCAGAATGTTAACCATGTGCAACATCCAAGGACTTCTTCTGTAGTCTAGTGACTCTGCTATGTTGCTCAGGATCAAGAGTTCCACCTCAGATTATTTATTATCCTGAAAAGAGTCGATCTAGAAAATACGCAATTACTCCATGTTCAGAGAATCTGTTCCTTTCTGAAAGGTCTAGGTAGAATCTTTCTTTTGCCCACATACCTATCTTACTGTTTTGTGTTGTTTTGAGTTGCCCTTGAGTTGAGTCTAACTCCTGGCGACCCCATGTGTGCAGAGTACAACTGTGCTCTATAGGATTTTCAAGGCTATGGCCTTTCAGAAGCAGATGGCAGGCTTGTCTTCAGAGGCTACCCTGAGTGGAATCAAATCTCCAGTCTTTCAGCTAGTAGTCAAGTGCTTAACTGCTTGTGGTACCCAAGGTCTCCTCCTACTGCTTCAGTTTCCTCATATCCTCCAAGGAAAGGTTTTAAAAATATGGTTAAACACTTAGCAAATGCAAGATCTCAGAAATCAATGATGCATGGTCAGCTTTGGGAAAAGCAAATGGTAATTCCACATGCACCAATGATTAATGGCAACTTCCTGGCTAAACTCTGTAGAACAGAACAGCTGTGCTTGATTATTTCAGGAAACATTAAAAAGTAACCATAATCGACATGGAATTCAGGTCCATTCTGACAACTCATTCAAATAATCTCTCTTTATAATCCACCAAACCTCTGAACTACTTAAAAAAAAAAAAAAGAGAGGACAAGATTTAAAAAACAACAACAACAACAAAACTAACCTTTAACATTAAGCGTTAAGCTTCTTAACAGAGAGCCAACTTCATTTTTAGATTCACATTCGTACACTCCCGCATCCTCTAACTGGGCTTTGCGTATGATATATGTGCCATCTATAGATTTTAGCATCTTGTCTCCTGTCTCTGCTTTCTTCTTTAGGATTATCCAAGTTTCTGTAACATTTCCACATGTACAAGAGATAGTGACAGTGTCTCCTTCCTTAACACTCTCAGAAGGAAAAGCTGTAAGTTGTATGTCCTTTGGCGCAACTGTAAAGAGAATTTAAAAGCCACCACTGATTGAGTGAAATTTATGCCAATTCCATATTAACTTAATAACAGAAACTATAGCTGTCAAGGAGCTAATGTGTGCTTCTTTATATTGATTGCATTAAAAGTTTAGAAGGGCAAATAAAAAAGTCAAGCATTTGATGGATTGTTGCAAATGATTATGTCTTTAATTAGAGGAAGATGTGCCTTATGCTCTCTCATATGCCTTAATATAATTCTTTTGCCAACCTTGCACACACACACATGAAAAATAAGTGTTTCATAAACAAGTGTAGAATCCAAATGTGAAAAAGGAAGGAATTGGCTTTATTCTTAGTCCTATTGCTCCATCTTGGAGAAAAGCGATCTTAATCTGATGGCTTAACTCACTCTCATGGTTCTTTTATCACCAGGCAGATGAACCAGAAAGGCACAGTAACTACTACTATTAAATCTCAGAATTTACAGAAGATTTAAATGCCCTATTAAGCTGCTCAGAAAATACTAGTAGCTCCCTTGGCAGATTCCCACTCATGGTCTACTTAAGCCATATATGGTGGTTGTTATCCTAAATAATTTCCAAATACATATATTCCTCTTCTAAAATGGTGACCTCAACAACAACATAATCACTGCCTCATAAGTGTAACTGGAACTCCTGGCATACTTCCTGGAGCCAGCTTTCCATCCGCAGTTAAAAGAACTTCAGGATAAGCGACTTTGGAATGGTTCACAGGCAAGGATCATACCAGGAGGGTTCCATGCAAAGGAAACAGCATGAGCTCTTCAAAACCCTCAATACATTTATTTATTTATTTATTTTAGGTAAAAATTTTCTTTTCAAAGACAGCTTTGCTCATAGCCAGTAATACAACCAAAGTAATAATATCAATAATAACTCATAAGCATGTTCTGCTCACCTTGAATAATTAATTTGACTTCTTTTCTGCTTATGCCAGCATGGTTAATCCCTTCACACACATAAATACCAGAATCTTCCATCTTTGCCGACATTAAGGTAAAAGTTGTACTTTCAGAAAGAGGTTGTAGATCCCCATTATTTAGCTGCTTACTCCACATGATCTTCGGAGCTGGAAGGCCATTACTAGAGCAAGTCAAGTTCACAAAACTACCTTCCTTTATGGTGGAGGAGGGGCTAACCAGGATGGTTGTATTCCCTGGGGCAACTGAAAAGGTAAAGTCACTTGTTAGCTTAACCCCTTATACTCTGAGCTTCAACGAGTTTTAATAATGTTACAAAACTGGGCTAAGGATTCAGCAGATTGGAACAGTTTATAAACCTTGATAACATTACCAAAAGTTTATATCCTAACTTACCATTTACATTGACAGTAACTGTATGGAATTAGATTGTCCAGTCTTCCTTCCGAGAGCAGAATGATAGAGAGTAGAATATGTACATCATGGATGTTTTCCAATAGAAGCTAAATTCTGTAGAAACTCCTTTGCTACCAAGGAATGGATGGTCAACAATAGTGTATGTTGCCATTCTAGTAAATTAAACCTGGCCACAAATTACTCGAATGTCCTCTAATCAAAAGGTGAAGTCTGTTTTTCCACCCCTTGAATTTGGGTTGGCCTTGTGACTTGTTCTGACCAATAAAAAAAATGGAAGAAGTAACACTGTAGGACTTCCAAGCTTTCAAGCTAATGAAAGGCACCTTCCATTGCCTCCATCTTGAAACAAACACTGTACCCTAGTGAGCAAGTTTCAGTGTGTTTCCTTAAGTATGAGGCTATGGCCCAAATATGTGAGTGAGGCTATTTGGGACCAGCCAGCCCTTAGTCAACCTACTGACTGACTGAAAAATGCATGAGTGAGTTCAGTTAATACCATATTGAGCAGGTGGACTGCCCAGCTGACCCCTTCCCAAATCACCTATCCATAGATTCATAACCAAATATATGCTTATTATTTTAAGTTTTGGGAGTGGTTTGTTATAACCATCATTATTTTGAAATTTCCTTTCACTTTGTTTTTTTCACAGAGGTTTTGACTATTGACCTCATGTTAACTACTGCCTGGCATAGATGATAAAGAAATCCATATTAAATTGTGAACACATCACACATGTACTCACCATTAACATAAAGTGTCTGTGTACTCTGCCTTTGTTTGGGTTCAAATTCCATTTCACCAATATTTAACTTAGCCTGACAAACAAGAACTTTTCCAGTATCTCTAGTGGTAGGGATGAAGGTCACTTCCAAACTCTTGGTCTCTAGGGATTGGCTATCCATGTCCCCCCAGAAGTCTTTATTCTTCATAATATTCTCCCCCTTAAGTAATTCAATCTCCAGTCGGTCGAAAGGGTACACATCAGGAACCTTGCAGCTGACAGTGACAGGGTTTCCGCTCACTAGAAGATCACTCATCTCAATTTTTGGATCTCTAAGGAATGCTGCAAATATCAAGCAAAAAGGGTGTTTAGAAGTGATATTCAAGGAAAAACTGATCTAATCTTTATTAAATGAAAAAGTTCAAATTGGCAGCTTTAACTCACCTGAGATAGAATGGTTACCAATATACAAATAATGATAAGTATATGATAATGTAAACACTTATTTATGGTATTAAATATAAATAATGCTGCAAACAAAAGAAATACCTAGTTCATCAAGTAATGACAACAACCAATCTACAGCGAATGGGTTCTGGCTCACGGGGACCCCATGCATTATAGAATGGAGTTGCTCCACAGGGTTTTCTTGGCTGTGATCTGTACATAAGCAGATTGCCAGGCCTTTCTTTTATGGTGCCACTTGGTGGGTTCAAATTTTGGGTTTGTAGTCAACTGAAAACCACTTACACCACCCAGGGACATAAGTACTTCTTACTTCTCTTTCGTAGTGATGCAGTCTTGCTGAGAGCCCTGACCTGATCTTTTCTGAGGAATTGTCAGCTTCCACCATCTTATTTAGAAACTATGTATTTTAAGTAGGAGTTCTGGTGCCATTTGACTAAGGCATTTGACTGCTAACCAGAAGGCTGGTAGTTCAAACCCACCAGCCACTCCTCAGAAGGAAGATTGGGCAATCTACTTCTGTAGAGATAACGCCTTGGAAACCCAAGGAGGGTTCGCTATGAGTCAGGATCAACTCGATGGCAGTGAGTTTGCTTGTTTGTTTGTTTTGAGTCCCTTTATTACTTGTCATCTCAGTCTTCAAAACTACCTGATAAAACTGGTATTAAGTTATTTTACAGTAAGGAAAACTGAAACTCATAGAGGATGAAAGACCTTCATTGTGCATGATGCCTACTATGTTCCTGACCTGAAATCAGGACCTGTCTTTCTCTGATCTCAGAGTCCAGGGTTGGATTCACCAAGACATGCAGCCTCCCAGGATCAGATAAGACCCACAGGATAGTTCTCAATTTAAAAACTTTAATTTCTAATGACCATATTTAGCCAACAAGTTTTAAATATTTATCAGATGGTGCTTATAGTTAAGGAATGAAAAAAAAAAAAAAAATCTGTAAAAGATTTTGTTTGGGAATAATAACATTTATAATATATCCAATGCAAATCAATAGAAATGAGACTAATCTGTTTATCAAGAGCACAAGCAATGCTAAAAAAACTTTTCCTAAGTAAAATGTTGTTAAAGTGATACTTTCTCAAATATTTCCATACTGCAATAAGATTTCACTGCTGGTTCTCATTTCTGTTGGGAATGTGCCTACATCAGCAGATCCTAGGCTCTGGGTAATATGATAAGGCAATAAAATTTACCCTTCTTCTGAGAGCTTCAAATCCCGTCACAGACATACTCTTAACTCATTCTGGACAAAATCCTGATGGGTAACACACATTTGGGCAGGGTTTCTGGTAGAAAATCTCTACAATATGTTCTCTTCAATTCTGCTGAATAAAATAAGGCTCAAAAGCACTGAGTCTCAAAGCAATAACTCTGTGGTCACTTTATTTTGTTGTTCATTATAAACGGAGGAACTCCAGCAATGTCAAATTTTTAGAGAGTTGAGGTTTTAAAGGATTTTATGAAGGTGACAAAAACAGCAAGGATAAGTATAGAGTCTCTATTGCCATGTAAATTAGTATGAAGAAAGAGTCTCTAGGATTGTCCCCTAGTTCTAATTTTCACCTGAGCTGTTACCTGACCACCCCCACCTCCAGTCTAATCCTTGTCTTCATATTTGGCTTTCTGCTATACCCTATTGTCTCATTTCTTTATTTTCCTGCAACTTTCCAAATGTGCCTTCAGAATCAGTGAGTTCAGGCTTTATCCCAATTCAAATGGTTGAGCAGGAAGTAACTCCCACTCAGTTATCCAAACGGACACTGACTCTTTATTGGGGGTTGTCTCTGACAAGTGCTAAGTAATCCTGCCACCCCATTCCTTGCTCACTACCACCTCCAGTGGTCTATGCACACAGAAGGAACATGGGTTTATTCAAATGAATGATGAGCATATTGACAAGATGCAAACCAAGGATTGTGAATGCTAAGTACACTTGTGATATGTACTTAAGATTTTAGGCTGATTATGTTGCATCAGGAAAGTCTAGTTCAGATATTTGGGAATCATGCTATTGTGGTTGTTAGCTGCTGTTGAACTGACCCCTAAGTCATGGTGACCCCATGAACAATGGGATCGGACCTTGTGATCCACAGAGTTTTCATTGGCTGATTTTTCTAAAGTAGATCATCAGGCCTTTCTTCGTAGTCTGTCTTAGTCTGGAAGCTTCACTGAAACCAGTTCAGCACCATAGCAACATGCAACATCTCCACTGACAGAAGATGGTAGCTACCCATAAGGTGCATAGACCAGAATCGAACTAGGTCTCCTACACAGGATACAAGAATTCTACCCCTGAGCCACCACTGCCCCTTAGGAACCATAAACCAAAGAAATTAACTCACTGCCGTTGAGTCACATCCGACTCATAGCAACCTCTCCGTGGGTTCCCAAGGCGGTATCACTACAGAAGTAGATTGTCCAAACTTCCTTCCAAGAAGGAACCATACACAGTGCTAAATTCCCTTTCTAAACATATGAATCACATTGCATATCACAGCCTTTCATTCTCTTTTTTCCAGCTGATCTTCATAAACAAATAAACAATTCTGAAACACACTTACAGTAGAGCTCCACCTCGATTCCTCTTTCCAGTTTCCTACGCCCACAGGTCACTGTGCACACGTAAGAGTGTTCATTCGCAAAGCTAACAGAACTCAGGGTCAGCGTGGACTTGGTCCCCTCGTTTCTCACCTTCCCACTGAGTGGGCTGTCTATCTGGGTTCTCCAAGAGAAAGATGGGGATGTGCAGCCTGTGGCACTACAGGTCAACACTACTGAGTCCCCAATCTGAGCAGCAATCCGGGACCCAGGGGAGATCTCGACAGTAAACAGTTTCTCTGGGGGAAAAAGAACAAAGCAGAAAGAAAATGAGTCTTCTCTTCTTTCACCACATTCCGATATATGATTCCCCTCCTTAGCCCAATTTCATTTTAGCTAATATTTCTGCCAAGAAGAAATTATTCATTTCCACCTTGGAATCATCAAAAATAAAACCACATCTTTCAAGAATGAACCCAGAATAGTCCATTGATTCATTCATTTAACTGAATGAATGTAGATAAATATTTGTCGAGACAGAGGTTGGCATCTTTTCATAGCAACAACCCAGTCTCTTCTCAAATGTAGTTTATCAAAATTATTACATTAGCAGATAAAAGGTGAAATAATGTAAGTTGTTCCTGTGTGTCAGATACTGTACAAGCCACTTTACATATATGATCTCATTTAGTCCTCAGAATAATTTTATGAAAGGATAGTGGTATTTTTTCTTCTCCTCCTTCAGGAAATCTAAGCTCAGAAACATTAAATGACTTTACACAGCTTGGAAATTGTAAAATTAAGACTTAAAGCCAAGTGGATTTGAATTAAGGTTGAAAGCTTCCAGTTGCTAGAAAAATTAAACCAAGTCATTCTCATATGGAGATAAAACAAGATCTAAGAGAGATACTAGAAAAGTTACAAAAATTGTCTTCTAACTAGATATATAATCCCTGTAGTAGAGTAGTGCTTAGAATTGCCATCTGAATGATATAAAGGTACATCATTGAAAGTCACACAGAAACAAATTGAAAACAAAGTAAAACCTAAGTATTAAAGTGATACACAAGTCACCTCTAAAGTTTGTTTGATGCAATTGAAATATTCTTTACAATTAATTCAAGGACTGAAAGCTGAGATGTGAGGGCAAAGCCTAAATCTCAGCTATCAGGGAAAGCTGTTGGCTGCAGAACTATCCCTGCGGGATGCACAGGCTTCTTTTGGATGATTGCTGTTCAAGGGGACAGGAATTCCTGGCTCTCTGTTCCCTTGAACTGGAAGTGATTGGCCAACTTCCAAAGTGACTGATGCGACTCCACAGGAAATAAATAAAATCTTCCTTATTGTCAGGCTGGGGATGGAGGAAGGAAATTTCAATAAATAAATAATCCAAACACTGGATTTTTCAAGGTTCGTGTCTGTGCTAGGGGAAGTTATTTTTCTTGATTGGTTTGTCTAATTGTGACATCTTAGTATCGTCCAAATAAGACTTTCCTCAAATTACCTCAATAGAATGATATGCTATTAGCTTTTGAAAAAGAGAGGTCATTCAGGATAATAACCAGAGTTTCCTAATTCCTTCTATGCTAGTGTGAGAATGGGGATCTTTAAAAACCAACCTACTGTGAACAGGTCTCCTTTATCCTTTACTTTAGCTGCTTATTTGACAATGTAAACTTGTGGCTCCTTGGGGAGCAACTAGCAGGTAATTAAAAGGGTGCTTTGAAAGTTCAATTCTATCTTCAGTAGTTAAGGAAGTTAGTATATCCCCATGGTACAGGATGCAAAACAACCCTCCTCAACCTGAGAATATACTTCCTTTTCACCATTGAAATGGCAGATAATTTATTAAGGAGTGAAGTTATTCCAGGATCAATGATTAGCTCTATGATTTTTATTAGTGTACTATCTTCCCGGTCTCTTGGGAACGCTAACCTAACATCCAAAACCAAACCCAACTCACTGCTGTCAAGTCAGATCAGACTCATAGCGACCCCTCCTTGGGTTTCCGAGGCTGTATCACTATGGAAGAAGATTGCCCAGCCTTCCTTCTGAGGAGTGGCTGGTAGGTTTTAACAGCCAGCCTTCTGGTTAGCAGTCCAATGCCTTAGGCACTATGCTACCAGAGCTCCTAACCTAACATCTGGCTGAGTTAATTTACTAATGGTAAGCTTGAATTTTATTTTATTTTATTTTTAGCTATAAAAGTTTAAGTTCTATGCTTAAAATTTTGAAACTTAAAAGCTCCATTTAAAAAATCAGTGTTGTCCATGTTTACAATTTATTCATCCAATAGACATTCACTGAGGACCTATTATGAACCAGGCACTGTACTAGACACCCAAACATTAACACACACACACAGAGAGAGAGAGAGAGAGAGAGAGAGAGAGAGAGAGAGAGATCCTGACTTTACAACTCTGTTTAATGGAAAGACACATTTAAAAGATATATGTTATTTTTGACAGTAAAATATATTCAAATTACCTATTTATAGGCTTGGCTTTCTCTCCTAAAGTGTAAGCCCTTCCCCAACTCCCAGGACAGTCATTATGATTTTATGTAGAATACCCAGCACCAAGCACAATTCTTTGATTCTTAGAAAAGGGTTTTAAATATGTGTTGAAATGTACAGAAGTACATATACATCTGTAAGAAGAGTTGAGTGAACACTAAAAGAGGAATGGCTGACCTTGCCTGAGAGAGCTTGGAGTCGAGGCTGACATGAGCATTGCCTGAAGCATGGATAAGACTTTGCCAGGTGAAGGAAGGAGAAAGGGCATTCCACACAGAAGGAACAGCATGCACTGAGGCACAGGGTGGTTGCAATGAAATTGCAAAGGTAGTTTCTGACCAGATTATGAAGAGTTTTATGTGACTATTTAAAGAAATGTTCATCTTAATTTAAATACAATTAGAGTTTAAATTGAAGTCATATAAAAATGAGCACCTTTTTTTTGTTTAAGGATCATTACTCTGGTAGCAGTGCATAGGATTGATTATCTTGGGGAGAGAATAATTGCAGGGAGACCATTTGAAGAAAATTAGCTATGGCTGAAAAGGCATGTGGTTTTTGTATTAAAATGGGCCTGTGTTAAAATCATAGTAATGATACTAATGAATTATTTGACTGTACACAAATTATGGATTATGCCTGGCCTCAGTTTTTGTCCACCTCATATAGTCTGGTGAAGATTATTGAGATACTATATATAAAGTGGAAAGGAGAATTCTCAGCAAATATTAGGTTTACAAGCAATAGAAATCATTATTAATCTCTCTGTGAGGCTCCATTCTTACATCTATAAAATGGATATAAAATACTTACTTCTAGTTAATTATTTCTTACAGATCACAGGTAACATGTAAGTATCTGGAACATAGCTAGTGTTCAGTAAATGTAATTTAAGAATATCTTACAAGAATCCAAGTGAGAGATGATAAACTAAGGCAATGGCAGATGAATCGAAGAAAAGAGGTCAACTCTAGGGATTGTTTTGAGATAGAACTGACAGGACTTGACAATTTGGAATGGGAGCATGAATTCTGCAGTCACTAGCATACCAAAGAAACCAAATTCACTGTCATCGAGTGGTTTCTGACTCATGGCTACCCCCATTGGGTTTCTGAGGCTGTAAATCTTTCTGGAAGTAGATGGCCAGTCTTGCTTCCAAGGGGCAGCTGGTAGGTTTGAATCACTGACCTTCCAGTTAGCAGTCAAGTGCCTTATCCACTACGCCACCAGTCACCAGCATATGGTAGTTCAATTCTTGGGAGTTTATAGTGAAAAGGAAAGAGGGCCAGGGATGAAAGGTTGATGTCACCAATATAACAAGGGGCTGGCAGAAAAACATACACTAGAGAATGAGGCAGTAAAGGAATGATTAGAGATGGAAAAGAATCAGAAAAGCAGGCACATAAACAATTTCCACATTGAAGCTCTAATATCGATGGCAGTACCTCTTTTTAATTCCTTTTACACATTCTACTTACCTTGAAGGAGATCTGGTGGCGTAGTGCCTAAGGCACTTGACTGCTAACCAGAAGGCTGGAGGTTCAAACCCACTAGCCACTCCTCAGAAGGAAGGATGGGCAATCTACTTCTGTAGTGATATCGCCTCAGAAACCTAAGGAGGGGTCGCTATGAGTCGGGCCCGACTCGACGACACGTAACAACAACAACAACACTTACCTTGAACAATTAATTCCACTTCTTTTCTTTTTCTCCCAATCAGATTAACTCCCTCACACACATAAATCCCAGAATCTTCTATCCTCATGGCAATTAAGGTGAGAGTTGCATTCCCAGAAAGGGGCTGTAGATTTCCATCATCTAATATCTTGCTCCAGAAAATCTCTGGAGCTGGCAGACCATCACTGGAACACATCATGGTCACAGAGCCACCCTCTTGCAGAATTGTGGAGGGGTTCACTGTTATAACTGTATTCTTGGGTGAGACTGAAAAGGCAAGGCACAGTGTCAGCCATTGATAAGTATCATCTTGACCCAATAGGGATAGTATATTTTCCTCATAGTGTGTATTTATGTGCTTCCAACAATTTGATGAACTTATGCTGCCAAATTAATATAAAGAACTACTGTGTCATTTGAAAAAATATCCGGTTTTGGATTAACTTCATTGAGTTCCATTTTTGATGCTTGGTGTTTTCAGATGGTCACAGATTCAGAAATTAAAAGGCCTTTAGAGTCATCTAGTTCAGTCTCCCACCTAAGGTAAGAATCCCATCTAAGAATTGTATCTAAGCATCCTTGCCAAGTTCTCATCCAAGTCAACTTCAATACTGACAAAGTGGTAACACACCCGCTGACAAAGCAGCCAATTTGATTATTGGACAACTCTAATTATTAGAACATTTTCCCTCTATTGAGCAAAATCTTCCTCTTCGTAACTAACTTTTCCACATTGGTCAAAGTTCAGCCCCCTGCTGTTTCCTGGAATAAATTAAATCCTTCTTTCATATCAAATTTTCAAATACTTAATTACAGCTCTCTTTTCCAATTATTATCTCCTCTAGGCAAAAATATCCCATATCTTGACTATTCTTCTAAAAATATTACGAAAAGCCTTACCATTTTGGTCTCTTTCTATTAAGCATACTCCTTTTAAAATGTGGTCCAAAGCTGAACACAAGATTTTAATCGAGAATAGAGCACAGTGAGTTCACTTATGGGGTTACTCTCTGTCTTAAATACACTAGCAGTGTTATGGAACCTGGCGGCACTCAAACCTCATCACCTGTCTCCCACCTGATGAACACGCGGGCATGTGTTCACCTTCTCAAATCTGTATAGCTGTGCAGCTAATATTTCAAAACATTTTATGACAGTTTGTAAAACATGATTTTAAATATTTTTTGGTTTGACCCCATTTACTACAATCTACTTAGGTGGTGGCTTGGGGGCTGCTTTTTGCTTGGGGGCAGCTCTATATTAAGGCTGGGGCCGAGGTAGGAGGACATGTGGCTCAGGGGCTGCTTTTCACTTTGGAGCAAGTCTAGTTTAAGGCTGAGGCCTGAGGTAGGTGGGAGTGGGGCTCAGGGCTGCTTTTTGCTTGGGGGCAGCTCTAATTTAAGGTCGAGGTCAAAGGTAGACAGGCTTAATGTTTCATTCTGCTATGTATAGGGTTACTATGAGTCTGAGACAACTCAACCACACCTAATAACAATGACAATAAGGTGGTATTATTATTTTCTGTTTATAGACTGGGAAATAGAGGCTTACAAAAATTTAGCAAATTCACACAGTTAATGGAGGTAGAATTTAAGGTGTCTTCCCAACCCAAATCCAGTGTCCTTTTCATTGAATTATGCTGATGACAAATATTATGTTCATAATGAATTAAAATGGAGCAAAAACTGTAAGATTTTCCTTGCATTTAGTTACTAAATTTATTACTATTCACCCAACTCTAAAGTCCCATGAAGACTAGGCTACATACACAAGTACTTACTGTAGACTTGCAGTTCTTTTGTGGTCTCTCTTTCTGTGGGCACAGAATCAGCTTCACCAATGTGTAATTTAGCTCGGCAAACAAGAGTTTTTCCAATATCTTCAATGACAGGAGTAAAGGTTACTTCTAAACTCTTGGTTTCCAGGGACTTCCTGTCCATGTCCTCCAGAAAGTCCTTATGCTCCAAGAGATTGTCATCTTTCAGTAAATCCATCTCTAGCCTGTCAAATGGGTAAACATCAGGGACCAAACACATAACTGTGACTGGCTTTCCAACCTCCAGTAGGCTACTCAAATGGATCTCTGGATCTTTAGGGAAAGCTGCAAAGGCCAAACAAATAAACGTAAGTGGGCTTTTTGTTCATATTGGATAAGATTCCTTACTATTTTAATGCAAAACCAAGTATAACATTTTGGTTAATACCATAGAATCCATTGTTTAAATATTCTTCCTTGGAGTTAGCAAGGTTCAAGAAGCAAGAGCCTTCTTTTGGAGGGTTCTATTCCTGTATGCATTTGTTCCCTGAGCTGGACAAATGGTTAGGCAGTTGACTACTAACCAAAAGATTTGTGGTTCTAATATACCAAGAGGTGCCTCAGAAGAAAGTCCTGGAGATCTGCTTCTGAAAGGTCACAGTCTTGAAAATCCTAAGGAGCACAGTTCTATTCTGCAACACATGGGATCACCATGAGTCAAGATTGACTCAACAGCAACTGGTTTGGAAATTTTATTTTGGTTTACTCCTGTTTGTATTAAGGGATATATGCTATTGGAGTAAAAGAATAGAAAAAAAAAAAAAAAAAAAAGTAATGTTTATTGAATACTTAAGGAGATCTGGTGGCACAGTGGTTAATGCATTTGGCTGCTAATCTAAAAGGTCAGTGGTTCAAATACACCAGCAGCTCTGCAGGAGAAAGGTGAGGCAGTTTGCTTCTGTAAAGGTTGACAGCCTTGGAAACCCTATGGGGCAGTTCTACTCTCTTACGGAGTCACCATGAGTAAGAAGAGATGCCATGGCAACTTTTTTTTTTTTTTAACACTTATACAAGCCAGTCACTGTGCTGTATATTTAACATAAATGATTTTATTTTTACCCTCATAATAACCCCAAACAATTCAAACCACATTTCACAAACAAGAAAATCGAGACTTAACACATTTGCATAACTTGACTGAGTCCTCAGAGCTAGTTAGAGCTGGGAGATAAACTCAGGATTCTACTGCTGTGGATTGCTATTGTAAATTTTTATTATGTTATTTTATGTCCTGTTTTAATCAGGGCAGACATATTTCCATTTTACAGGTAAGGAATCTGAGGCTCAGAACATCATTGCAAAGAATAGTAATTAGGCAACACACACTGAGAAATGAAAGAGCAGCTTTAAGTAAGTGGCTTCTGAGAATGGTGCCTCTGATAGGAATTCATCCACCAGAAAGGAACACCTCTGCAATCTTAAATTCTGGAAGGCAGACTTGCCTCCTGAAATGCCCAAGTCAATGTCCCAACCAGTGCTCCGCTGGAACCTCCTGGTTCCAAGAGAACACGTTCTTTCAGTCAGCCATTGCCTCCTATGTAGGCGTTACCATTTCATCACAAACCTTGTGATAGTGACACATGGCCTGGATTCAGGGCCCTACATAGTAAGAAGAATACAAAGGCTGCAACTCTAAAGAATAACACAATCAAATGTGGAGTGGAAGCAGGACTATTAAACATAATGAAAGACAGACATTCTTGGAGAAAAACTTCAGGCAAGATAATGAAAGCCAGAAGGGTCTTTTCTTTTTTTACAACTTAAACTTTTTTGGTATTTGTGAACAGAGGTGAAGGAACTACAAATGCTGCTACTAATGAAAAAACACAGTATTTTTCATTTTTTTTCACTAACAATTTCTGACACTCATATGCTATAAAAATGTGCCTATAATCCACACAGTTGGATATCAGGTAATATAAGAACTTGCTACTTTTCCTTGTATTTACATAAGGTCATCTTTCAAGAAGCTCAGGAGGCTGCAGAGACATAAACTGTGCAGGCAGGACAAGCATAATTGAAAGCAGTCTGAGAGGCGCTGTTTGTTGCGAAACATTAGCAACACATGGGGCTTGCTGAAGACTCAATTAAGGTGACTGGGCAAAGTCAGGCTCCAGTTAGCAGAAAAGAATCAACATAATTATAAGGTAATTAAATGAGGTCTTCATGAAGAAATGACCATAAATGGATGCAGGTTTTTAGAAAGAGTGGTCAAAAAGTAACGCAAAACAGCCGATTTATTTCCAGTTAGTGTTTGCTCCCCTTGCTAACTTTGCAGAACTGAAACTAGATGAGCATGCATTTTGGTAGGATAAACGACCAAATTAGTATAAATTGTTGTTCTTGTTATGTGCTGTCGAGTCAACCCGACTCATAGTGACCCCTCCTTGGGTTTCTGAGGCAGTACCACTATGGAAGTAGATTGCCTGACCTTCCTTCCGAGGAGTGACTGGTGGGTTTGAATGCCAGCCTTCTGGTTAGCAGTCAAGTGCCTTAGGCACTATGCTACCAGAACTCCTTCAACGTAAATTAGGGGTATTTATTTACGAGGCAAATGTAATTCAATATACAAATATTTATGAGGTTCAGCATCAAGGCTTATTGCCACCAAAAAGAAGAAACATTTTATGACAGTTTGTAAAACACGATTTTAACTATTTTTTGGTTTGACCCCATTTACTACAATCTACTTAGGTGGCTTGGGGGCTGCTTTTTGCTTGGGGGCAGCTCTATATCTTTATCCAAGCAAATGAATGAAATGTTTACAGATATTTTTCTCAAGTCTAAGGGGAAAGCTGTATTACAGATCTTCTACTTAATATTTAAATTGGGTTTAAGCACCAAATTGCATAAAAATAAATAAATGGAAAACCCCTGATGGATAAAATTTGTAAATCATTTATACAGATGATCAAATAAGCATGTTAGGATAAAATCAAATGGAAATATTTAAAAATAAATAAATAAAGAGAATCCTAGAGATTTTATTTCATAACTAAGAAAACCAAAGCAAAGAGGTTGATTCTTACTCATGATTGCCACATTTATGACAAAGTTGGACACAGAAGCCAAGATTTGGGTTTCTGATCTAGTGCTGGACATAGCTATCTGTAGGCTTCTTGATGCAGTAAGGCCTCTAGCCAAGAATCCAGACATGAATATCTGCCTTTGAAAAAATTATCTTAAAGCAAAATTGAGAGAAAACCAAAGATTCTCAGAAGCACTCACAGTAGATTTCCACCTCGATTCCTTTTTCCAGTTTCCCAGATCCACAAGTAGCTGTGCACAGGTAAGAATGTTCATTGTCAAAACTAACAGGATCCATGATCAGCGTGGACTTGGTCCCCTCATTCCTCACCTTCCCATTCAATGGACTGTCTATCTGGGTTCTCCAAGAGAAAGATGGGGAGTCACAGCCCACAGTGCTGCACGTCAGTGAGACAGAGTCACCAATCTGTGCAAGAATATTGGATTCAGGGGAGATCTTGATTTGAAAAGCTTGAGCTGCCAAGGCAAAAAGAGGAAGAAAAAAAAAAAAAAACTTACCTCTGGTTTATTTTATATTCTACTCCCTCTTCTCTGTTCTAGCATGATGTCCAAAATAAGGGCTGACCCATCTCTTTCCTAAATTGATTCAAACTAATGGCAAGGCAGCCAAAAAGCACTGACATTTTTGCCAATGGAGGTGTGGGAATCATCTTTCCTTAGGAAAATTCTCAGTCCCAGCCTTTATTTACATCATTTATCAGAGCTGCTTTATTATTTGCTAAGTTTAGTCTTATTACCAAGTATAGGAAACAATTGTATTTTTACTAAGATAACATGAGGCTTCTACTTTGTTTGCCAAACACTCCCTGCTACCGCCACCCCCCAGGTATTTTTGTAAGCACTATACTATTTTTTAAAAAACAGCAACATGTAAAAAAAGTATTAAAAAAAAAATCAATTTGCAGCTCCAACTCTGACAACATAATGTGTAGCAAAACTCAATAGTACATTAAAACTGAGGTTAAATTAAGTTTTATCACTGTTTAAAAACCCTAATGCCTTTCTTCACTGTTGATGAGTCGATTGTGACTCATAGCTACCCCTTCGCCCAGTCTACCTTCCAGGAGTGGCTGGTGGGTTTGAACTACCAGCCTTCTGGTCAGTAGTCAAATGCCTTAGGCACTACGCCACCAGACTTCCTTTCAAGACCATAGCACTAACTAAAGTCAAAATCAAGGCTAAATGGAATGTTAGCATTTGAAACAGACTAAGGAGAGACACTTACAAGCTGCAAACATCATCCAGAGTATATTTGAAGCTCCAAAGATCACGACCACCTTCCCAGGCATTTTAAGTCGCTGCTGCGAAGACAAAATAAAGGTTCCCAAACCCCTCTTTCTGTCCCACCTGAAACTGCCTGGAAAGAGACTTCAACTCCTAAAACCAGTGAGGCTCAGTGAGGGGTAAAATAGAAAGGCTCCTCTTTATAAAGGGTCCTGCTGAAGAGGCGGAGGGAAATCCCTTCAAGGGGAAACCCGAGGCAGAGCCAGGGAAAAAATTCACACTGACACTCAGCCAAGTCCCAGCATTAACCCTTTCAGCTGCTCTCAGTACTGAAACTTCTCAGTACTGAAACTGCTCTCTCTGCCCCGGAAAAAGAAAACACTTCCAAAGCTATCAAAGTCAGGTTTTCATTATTTATTTATTTTTAGGAGATTTTTGGGATTTTCAACCCCAACAAGTTATCTTTGCTAGAAAGACATAAAGTACTACTCATTGCAGAACTAGGCTTTCTAAATCTATAGACAAACAACAGCAAGGAAAAAGAGAGAGAGAGAGGGGACATAGTAAATAATACTCTAGTTTTAGAAGCAGATAAATAACCAGTGTGTCATGTGGACTTTTTTTTTTTTTCATTAAGAAGATATGTTTGCAAGAGAGATTAAATGGTTTTCTTATGAGAAAATCCTTTCTTTCAGTGAGTCATTACAAAAAGGAGAACAGCATGACTTCTTATTCTGTAGTTCTTATTCATACATGCAGTTCTTTTGACAACAGCATCAATTTTCTGAAATGATATTCTTGAGAGTAAAAGAATGTAATTGAATTTTGGTATCAAAGCAAGGGGAATATTTTTTTTTTCCTTGTTTCAGAAAAGTTGCCAGGCCCTTGGTTCAAGTGTTGGATAATTGGAAGTCTTTTGCTGACTTAAATGCAAATTCATGGAACTCATAAATCTCAGGCTATGGGATTTAACCATCAAACCGAAAACCCACTGCCATGGAGTGCATTCTGACTTCTGGTGACTCTATAGGACAGAGTAGAACTGCCCCGTAGGGTTTCCAAGGCTGTAAATCTTTATAGAAACAGACTGCCACATCTTTCTTTCCTGGAGCTGCTGGTGGGTTCCATAGCTGAGTGCTTTACCCACTGCACCACCAGGGCTCCTTGATTTAACCACAAACCCTAGTTAAAGCATGAAAAAATGTGTTTTTGGTATATGGGAGGGGATGATAGCCAATTTTACATTATCCTCCCCCTACCTTTATCCCCACCCCCACAAAATGACTTTTTAAAAATTTCTGTTAACTGGCTGTTTTAGCACTGCACACTTACAGCCCAAGTCCTTGCAAAATGCTTGCCCATCAAAAAGAAACCGGATTAGCCACTTCCTTGTATTATATATGTACAGGTCTTCCTCCTGCAATGAGTCATCAGTTACTTTCAAGGCAGGGACCAGTTCTTGTTTATGGTTGCACCTACCTCTAACTTCCCAATATCTACTGCATGGCTGACCACTTAGTGAATACAAAAAGAGCCATAATAAATATTACAAATCCAAAATTCAGAAACTTCCAAAATACTAGCAACAATATGTAAATAGTGCATGAAGAAAATGTTAGATTCTATAAGAAAATTCTGAATCTCTTCATCTATTTACTAAATGTTTGTTATCTACTGACAGCTCTGGTGGTATAGTGCCTAAAACATTTGACTGCTAACCAGAAGGCTGGTGATTCAAACCCACCAGCCACTCCTCGGAAGGAAGATTGGGCAATCTACTTCTGTAGTGATACTGCCTCAGAAACTCAAGGAGGGGTCACTGCGAGTTGGGTCCCACTTGACGGTACACAAAAACAAACAACAACACTTTCATAGTGATACCGCCTCTGAAACCCAAGGAGGGGTCTCTACCAGTCAGATCCGACTCTAGTGCAGTGAGTTTGGTTTTTAGTTTTTATTATATACTATTTTCCAGGCACTGTATTAAGATTTTCAACAAAAAGAAAATCTCTATAACAATTCACAGACTCACGAATACGTGTACAGTAACGAAGGTTTGGAATCTCCAATTGCCCTTCTATGGTTGGAGAGGTCTCTGGACCTCCTCTTGGATACTGCTGTGGTTCCTTCTGTCCTTAGTGAAAAAATAAAAAGAAGTAGGAGAAGCTATTCTAGGGCTGTGGTAAGGGTACCTTCACCTACCAACCAAACATCAAGGAATCAGAAAAGTAGCTTAATGAAAAATTAACTGGTAAACAAGTAACCTGAGTATTCTTTATAATGTTGGCATCATGAAAGAAGATTGTCAGCACCATTTATATTGGCTGCTTAACTTCAGAACAGAATGAAAGAGGATTATGGAGTTTAAATATTTTTATCTGAGATACAAAGTGACCAATAGACCCCAAAATGGAATCACTAAGACTAAGTTATGGTAAATTCTTTCAGTGCTGAGCTTGGATATGATTCCAAGATTCGTACATTGGGGAAATGCCCACCCAATTGATTTGACTTACAGTGATTTTAGCAAAATATTTCATGAAGTTCCTCCTTATATCTTTGAATTAGATGCCATTGAGGTGCTGTTGTTGTTAGGTGTCGTCAAGTTGACTCTGTCTCATAGCAATCCTATGTACAGCAAAATGAAACACTGCTCGGTCCTGTGCTGCCCTCACAATCCTTATTACACTTGAGCTCATTGTCTCAACCACCATGTCAATCTATCTGAGGGTCTTCCTCTTTTTCATTGACCTTTCACTTTGCAGAGCGTGATATCCTTCTCCAGGAAATGGTCCCTTCTGACAACATGACCAGGGTAAGTGAGACAAAGTCTGGCCATTCTCTCTTCCAAGGAGCATTCTGGCTGCATTTCTTCCAGACTGATTTGTTCCTTCTTCTGGCAGTCCATGGCATTTTCACGAACACCACAATTCAAAGGCATCGATTCTTCTTGTTTTCCTTATTCGTTGCCCAGCTTTCACACACATATAAGGCTACTGAAAATATCATGGCTTGGGTTAGGTGCACCTTAGTCTTCAAACAGACATCTTTGCTCTTCAACTCTTTAAAGAGGTCTTTTGCAGATTTTCCCAGTGTAATACAATGTCTGATTTCTTGACTGATGCTTCCATGGGTGTTGATTGTGGACCTAAGTAAAATGAAATCTTTGACAACTTCAATCTTTTCTCCATTTATCATGATGCTGTTTATTGGTCCAGTTGTGAGGATTTTCATTTTCTTTACGTTGAGGTGTAATCCATTCTGCAGACTATAGTCTTTAATCTTCATCAGCAAGTGCTTCAAGTCATCTTCACTTTCAGGAAGCAACGTTATGTCACCTGCATAACACAGGTTGTTAGTAAGTCTTCTTCCAATCCTAATACCACATTCTTCTTCATATAGCCCAGATTCTCTGATTATTTGCTCAGCAAAATGATTGAATACATAGAGTGAAAATATTAAACCCTGCCTTACACCCTTCCTGACTTTAAACCATGTAGTATCTCCTTGTTCTATTTGAACAACAGCCTGCTGGTCTATGTACAGGTTCCTGATGAGCACAATTAAGTATTCTGAAATTCCCATTCTTTTCAATGTTACTTATAATTTGTTATGATCCACATATTTGAATGCTTTTGCATAGTCAATAAAACACAGGTAAACATCTTTCTGGTATCCTTTGCTTTCAGCCAAGATCCATCTGACATTAGCAGTGATATCTCTTGTTCTGAATCCAGCTTGGATTTCTGGAAGTTGCCTGTCAATATACTGTTGCAACCGTTTTTGAATTATCTTCAGTACAATTTTATTTGTGTGTGATATTAATGATATTGTTTGAAAATTTCCACATTCTGTTGGATCATTTTCCTTTGGAATGGGCCTAAATATGAATTTCTTCCAGTCAATTGGCCAGGTAGCTGTCTTCCATATTGTTGTTGTTGTTATGTGCCGTCGAGTCAGACCCTACTCATAGTGACCCTCCTTGGGTTTCTGAGGAAGTATCACTATGGAAATAGATTGCCCAACCTTCCTTCTGAGGAGTGGCTGGTGGGTTTGAACCTCCAGTCTTCTGGTTAGCAGTCAAGTGTCTTAGCCACTATGCTACCAGAGCTCCTTCCTTGGCATAAATAAGTGCCTCCAGCACTGAATCTGTTTGTTGAAACATCTCACTAAGTATTCCATCAATTCCTTGTTTTTCGCCAATTTCTTCAGTGCAGCTTCAACTTCCTCCTTCAATACCATTGGTTCTTGATCATATGCCACCTCCTCAAATAGATGAACATCAACCAATTATTTTTGGTACAGTGACTCTGTGTATTCTTTCCATCTTCTTTTTATGCTTCCTGCATCATTCAATATTTTGCCCATAGAAACTTTTAATATTGCAACTCAAGGCTTGAATTTTTTCTTCAGTTCTTTCACCTTGAGAAACGCCAAGCATGTTTTTCCCTTTTCGCTTTTGTAACTCCAGGTCTTGGTACATTTCATTATAATAATTTACATTGGCTTCTTGAGCTACTGTTTTAAAATCTTCTGTTCAGTTCTTTTAGCTTGTCATTTCTTCCATTTGCTTTAGTTGCTCTTTGTTCAAGGGCAAGTTTCAGAGTCTCTTCTGACATCCATTTTGGTCCTTTCTTCCTTTTCCTGTCATTTAATGATCTTTGGTGTTCTTTATATCATCCCACAACTCATCTGGTTTTCAGTCATTGATGTTCAGTGCATTAAATCTAATCTTCCAGATGGTCTTTAAATTTAGGTGGGATGTAATTAAGGCCATATTTTGGTTCTCATGGACTTGTTTTAATTTTCTTCAGCTTCAACTTGAACTTGCATAGAAGCAATTGATGGTCAATTCCACAATCAGCTCTAGGCCTTGTTTTGGCTGAAGATACTGAGCTTCTCCATCGCCACTTCCCACAGATGTAGTAGCTTTGATTCCTGTGTATTCCATCTGGTGAGGTCCGCTGTCCATGTTGTTGAAAAAAAAGTATTTGCCATGAATAAGTCAACAGTCTTGCAAAATTCTATCATCCTATCTCTGGTGTCATTTTTATCACTAATGCCATATTTTCCAACTACTGATGATTCTACTTTGTTTCCAACTTTCACATTCCAATCACCAGTAATAACCAATACATCTTGATTGTATGTTTGATCAATTTCAGATT